CCCATCATGCTTTACATGATGTAGCTTTTGAACGTGTGTCATCAGTATTGACGTGCTGTCCATGTTGGCGTGTTGAGTTCTGGGTTTTCTTTGTCCGCTGCGTGTCAGCGCACTGCGGTGGAATCTGACACTGAGTGCTTTTGTCTTGTAGCAGCAGTTCTGAGGAAACGGAGGCAGCGACCTGCCCTGGGGGCACAGATACACTCATGGAGTAAGCAATCTGTCGACTCCCCCGCTCTAAAAATAAACAGCAGAAAAGGGGCAATATCTTATTTATCTCTCTATGATAGGCTGTAATCTCTTTGTTCCAGCTTGTTGTCTTCAGAAGTGGTGAGAGCATCAAAACCTGAGGAAAATGTAATCGATTCTGTGAAATAATGTGGAACTTACTGCGAGTGCACTGCGGCTCTCAGGAGCCGGGGGAGCAGCAGGGGGGCTTCATGTGGGGACTTTGCTGTGTGAACATCACATGCAAACCACAAGGATCCAGAGTCAGTGGCGCACCGATTCTGGATGATCACCGATCTTTAAGGGTGTTTTCACACCAGCAAAGTCCATTGGTCCGCTTGTTTGGTACAGACCAAAGGCGGACATTTTTTTTTCATTTGTTTTCTTTCACATTGTGCTTCTTTATAAAACTACAAAGCCATGCAGAGGACAGCCTCTGCTCCCATTGGACAGAAGTGGCAGGAGGCGGGACGGAGCTCAGACCTGCCATGGAAAACCAACCCACTGCTTTTCTGTTAACATTTATGAAACCTGCAGGAGCTTTTAGAATCTCATGTCATGCTTTGGGATATTCATCATGTTGGAGCGCCGATGGTAAACGCTGCTGCCTGCTTGTTCTGACCCACATCAGCACCACTCAGCAGAAATCAGGTGCGACTTCAGTAGCCTTAGCAACACTGAAGGGCTCGTTTTTACATCGGCAGATAACATCGGTTTCTCATGTATCAACCAAATACCGATCTCTGAAGTCAGAGTACCCAGAGAGACACACATGGACAGGATCTGAACCCAGAACCGTCTCGCAGCACGGCAACGGTGCTATCAACTGGTTAACCTTGAAACCTGTATCTGTTTCAGGTTGTGTGTGTGTGTGTGTGTGTGTGTGTGTGTGTGTGTGTGTGTGTGTGAACTCTGGATTCTAAACTCTGGCATTCAAACAGCTTCAAGGTCATCGTCTGAACAGCCATGATGTTCTGAGCAGGAACAGCCAACATGTCAGCCTGATTTGTTTTCTCTGACACGATGAAAGAAAAAAAAACATCTGTGTGCCAAAAAACAGAAACAGAAACTAATTAAACTCTGAAACGTAATTAATTTGCCCAGTATCCGCCTGCCAGGCTGCTGTTTAACACTGGGTGGGCTTCCGGCGCCGCAGCCCATTTTAACTGGCGCCGAGCCAGAGTGGGACGCTCAGGTTCTCCGTGATGAGATCATTCCCCAAAAGATTGATTAAATGAACAAACTCACATCTGTCTTGGGACTGAGAAGCTCCAGCAGGTCATTTGGAGAGCGCAGTGAACTTTGTGGCTGATATTGGTGTGAAAATGCCTCCATTCTGTAATAATTTATCCTAACTTGGGTTTGGTGCAGGCTGTGATGGCTCAGAGCAGGTTTCTCACACATTCGGCTTAAATATTGAAATATTAAATGATCCCACGAGGAGCAGCGTGATTATTTTCATCTTAATAATAGAGATGAACCAGAGCAAGCAGCTAATCCATGCATGAAGCGCTGCGATAAAAAGCACCTTTGTGAAACCTGCTTCATGTATCTGTAATGAGAATTAGCTTGTTCTGTCCTTCCCTGTGGGACTCGAAGCAGGAAGAGAGTCTTCCTTTGCTCCACTTCTTCTCCAGCGAGCGGCGAACGTCGACATGATAAATGTGATCTTTTCATGTTACTCCGGTTAATTAAAAGGCTGAAACACCTGACCGGTGATGGAAGAGGTCCGTGAAACTGATTCAGTTATGAAAATGATCAGATCTCAGTTCATCACCGACGATGTGAGATCTTTACGTTCTTTCACATTACAGATCGACTGTTAAAGATTTAAATGGTACCGACAGTGAAAACTACTTACTAATAGCTTCTTGCTTTAAACCATAAAGCGACGCAGTTGTGTCTGCTGAGGCAAAGCAGCCAATCAGCAGCAGGATTCAGTTTCTTGGTGCTGATTGGTGGATTTTAGGTACTTATGGGCGGTTGTCTTAATCCCACAGATTGCTTGTCATATTGTGAGTTATTGATAACCTGGTTCTGGTTGTGTCTGATGAGAAAAAGCTTTTGTTGGAGCTGTGAAGCAGGCCTGCTCTTAAAGCTACAGAAACTCGTTCAGTGATTAAAGAAAAGGGAAAATATGCAGGTTTTATTTCCAGCAGATGTTTAGAACCAACTGGAGCCATGATGAAGTTTAACAGTTAAAGTTATTTTGGTGTCGGTGACAATTAAAGGAATGTGATTAACGTAGCTGTGCTGTTACATGTGTTTGCATCATATGCTGCATAAAATATTACAAACAATGCCAGTATCAGGCATCTGTAATGCTGCAGCCTCAGCCTGAAGTATGCAGTAGCATGTGAATAGAGTAAACCTCACGCATGTGTTTAAACTCTTTTAATTATGTATCAGTTTTGAATCAAGTCATCTCTGTAGAGAAATCTACAGATCATTAACGGAAAAACATCCCAGTGTAATGATGTCGTCCTTTCTGACCCGACTCCTTATGCCAGCAGTCAGTCCCTGGTGTCTTCATGCTGTTAGCATATGTGAGACCATGCTAACTCATGCTAACATTAGTTAGCATGAGACGGTTCGGTCTTTGTCACAGTAAATGCTTCTGATGGCATTAAATGACAGACAGCAGGACGGCACCAACCATGGTTTATGTCAGATGACCTTAATATTCCTGATTTATTTCAAATGTATGTTTGTCACATTAGATTTTAAATTAATTTGAAATAATTTGTAATCTTGTTTTTGTATGAGGTTAAAATTCACTTTTTGTTCTATTTTGATCCTGTTTTAATAAAATGTCTTTCTGCTGCTCCTACATGTGTCTGGGATCTTCCACATTCTGTCTTTCTATACATTATTCTCCATTTGTCTGGTGGAAGGCCGTTTCTCCACCTTCACATCGAGCCTCGGCTCCTTTGTGTAAATCTTATGCTAATAAACATGGAGGTTTGGTCCAGCTGTGTCCTCCATTTGGGTTCCCAGTCCTGTCAGTTTGTCACTGTGCAGTTCAGGCGCCGCAGACCCAGCAGGTCCTTCCTTTAATGAGGACAGTGTAGCATGTCATACGTTCTTATTTGCATCCATGGTGAGAGGAAAAGGACACCTGATGAAAAATTTCAGGGATGCTGCTTTGCCTGAAGCTCATACGACGATGTTCAGTAAAACCGGGTTGTTAGACTTCCTCCAGAGTGGATTAGAGGTTTCTTGGGCATGAAAAGAAACCTCCATGTAGCAACACGAGTCATTATGTTGTGTCTGTTGCTTTGAGCCAAATGACTCACACCATCAGATTCATAATAAAGCTGAGCTGGCTGCTGGGATCATCGACTTCTGGGTTCACATCGCAGTTATTTCACATCGCTCATATTTTAGGAAACAGAGAGCAGATCTGACCTGGTTTACCTTTCTTGGTATCTTTGGCCCGTTACAGTGGGACGCTAACAACAATATCACCTGAACTCTCTCTTACTGTGTACTGGGAGGAAAGCCAAGATGTCTCCGGCCTTCAGTGTCTGTGTTTAACAGAGCAGAGCTCTCCAGTCTGTTGGGTTTCAACTGGTCAGAGTTCAGGACTCAGCATATCCTTCATCACTAAATCAGGCATCAGTTCAGTTCAGTCCTGGTTTTAAGGACTAATCATAGGATGGCATCAAAGAATGATTAATGATCACTTTTTACCGACTCTGTTGCTGCTTTCATTGAAAATATAAAGATCTACTCAGCAGGAGTCTATGGGCTGTTGGAAGATTAATTGTGTGGAAATCCAGTATGAGTGGTTGGATTCCAGCTTCATCCTACATGTTGGGCCCTTTGGCCCTTCAGCCCCATGTCACCTACCGATCTGTCCATCTGAATCAAAACGAGCGACTGGACGACCGTCAGAGCTCTGAGCGGTCGGCGTGACTAACTCAGTTCATTTTTGTTTTTCAGAAACTCAAATTTTGAAGCTAAATCGGTAGAATGTTAAAAAATGGAGGACTGAGTTCAATCATAGTGCAACACTGGAGTGTTATTATGACTAATCCTAATTTTGATATGAATCACTGAAGTATAGTTCAAATATCGTAGCATGGTTCCAATAAGTAGGAAGACGATGTTGTTTCCATGTTTCAGAATTATAATCCTTTACTTTACATGTCTCAAAACTCCTCGTTTCATCTGCGATATGTGATGCTCTTTCCCATGCAGACATTTGTTGGGAATAAATAATTCTGTGTTTTCTCTTTTAGCTATTTGCAAAGCTAATGCTAAAGGAAATGACACACTAGGGAACGCCCTCTTTAGGGCGTAGCTCAGATAGAGGCTAACAAAGAGCTAACAAAGCTAACAAACTGCTGTTTGACGCCATTTTGCTGTTAGCCCATAATGATAGCATGAACAAATGGACCAGCAGTACTTCAGTCTTAATAAATGAAACGCATGAATTCAACTCACTGACTCTTCCTCAACCTCATACACCAATAACCTAATGGAGATAATTCTCCACAACAGGTAACACTGCAGACAGAGCAGGTCACATGATGGAGACATCCAGCCTGTTTCACCTGCAGAGCTGTGATGTTCATGAGTGAAACAAATCTTCTGCCTGGGTCTCTAGCATGAACCCTGGGAACCGAGTCGCTGTTTTCAGCCAATGTTTCACACAGATTCACAATCTCTACCTTTGCTCCCAAACTGAGACTGAAAACAGGCAAAAGGGGAGGGCCAAGACAGGAAGTTTAAGTCAATCTGTTCTTTTCAAAGAACCAAGAGTCAGGTAAAGGCCAGGTTTGTTGTATTGACACAATGCTGTTGCATGCAGGAAAAACTTCCCTTTTCCAAACTGAACAGTTTGTTGTGGCTGATAAAATTCCCACAGAAGACCAACAACAGGTTTCTGGAGTTGTAGTGTTTTGTGAAATTCCTGATCATCTCTAAAAAGTCTCGCTTGGACCGCTGGGATCAGAATGGGACTTCGGTAATGAACATCCATCTGGTCAGTGTGTCTCTGTAGTAAAACATCGTTCAGTCGCCTGACAGGCAAAGAGAAACGGTTATTAACCCACACAGGAAGGAGCTTCTGTCAGAAATCTCATATTATTATTATAAGCTGTGGTATGCGTCAGTGTGAATTGGTACCTGTCGCTCAGAAATGGCCGCTCTCACAGACATGAGTGATGGCTTATTTAGATGTAGAGCAGCAGCAACCAGGCCTCCTTTCACATTAATAACCTGCAGCCCAAAACAATAAAAGGTTTTACTCACTTCGACTTATTGACAACAGTTGGAGACTTTTCACCGACAGGAACCGAACAACAGTAATGAGGGGCGTTCTGTTGGTTAAAGTTTGGTGTGAAACTTGGAAGTTACCTGGGTGCAGAGTGAAACCTCGCTCCGTCCTCCCTGGAGGGAAGAAAAGAATGATTCCTGCCTGGAACCGGCGCTCCGGCTGCCTTCGGCTCCGTTCTGGGGGAACGTTATTAATCAGACCCATGGATGCTGCTGACATTCAGCTTTCCACAACAGATCTCTTTGGGGTGACACAGTAATCATAAATATCCTCGTCTCTCTGAGTTTTATCTCATACATTTTAACCGTCTTCTGCGGCAGTCCGACGCTTCCCGGGTGTTCGTTTGGGCCAGAAATCCCCTGCCTCCATCAGACCGTCTCCACCCTATTTTTCCAGAGTGTGAGGTAATTACCTCCCCATGAATTCACTGATGACTAGATCTGCTGCAGATATGATAAAAATAGCTGACAGGGAATTTGACATAATAGCCACATTGTCTCATGGAGAAAGGAGCTCCTAATGAATTCAGATGAGGCTCACCGCCATAATTATCTCCATGTCATTCAGATGAGGCCAGGATAAGGCGTTTTGTTTGTAAAGGCTGCTGCTGTTTGCTGAGCTAAAGTGACTCGCTGGCGACTTTTGGACAACCTTGGTGTGAAGTTTATGATGACTTTGTCAGGACTGAAAACGCTGTTCTGCAAGATATCCCTGGAAGATAATCGAATGGAGTCTGGTGATCGCTCTGTGGCGGCGTCTTTATTTGCAGCATAAAAGCAGCTGTTAGTTCAATCCAATTCCCAGCTGTGGGGCCGTTTGTGGGCCCGAAGAAAAGTTCAAGACCGGTGAATAAAAAGAGTCCTTAATCCTCAGAAGCTGCTTGAGGTGGCCAGAGATGGGAATACTTCTGCAAAGCAAAGTCTGCAGCCTTTTAACAAGCTTTTAATTTATTTTTTTGGACCAAAAATGCTTTTCAGCGAACACATTAACAGCCCCCCTGAGTGTATTAAGTGAAGAGCTATGCTGAATATGATCAAGGTTAAGGACTTTCATGTTGGTGCTTTATGGGTCAGTTTTTCTAGCCAAGGTCAGGATGGATCTGAATTACTCCCACAGGTATGTTTGGCTACATTAATTGCATTATAATTCTTATCAGAGCTGACCTGTAAAAGCCAAAGCCTCACTTAGAAAATGAGCGTCCTGGGCTTTGTGTTGTCCTGTAAAAAACGGGCAGAAAGACCGGGCTGCCGGCTGGGCTGTTTACTGTCAGGAGGATGCAGGGTTCGTCCTCCACACGCTGCAGAGGGAACCTTATCACAGGCTGCAGGGATCTGCTACCTCAGCCGTTTCTGGAGCCGCGGTGAGCCGCTCCATAATGCACCGACCTCTGAGGATTTCATTCAGAGAACAAACCTGTAATTATCTCCTCGTGTTGCAACGACAAAGAGAAAAATGCTTTGGTGGCTCACTCCACAGAGCAATAATTGGAGCAGAGAAAGAACATGTTGCGCTGTGTCATAAGCATAAATCTGAGTTTTACATAGAAAAGAGATGAGAGGCATATTTTATATGAACTTCTTGCAACCTCATGTTTTTAGAAACTCTGCTGAGATCAACTGCAGAGTAGAAATGTTTCCATGCTTAAATAAGTCCTTGTTTTACTCTGTTCATTTGGCCATCAGGTCATTTCATCTCTGCTTCCTGCTGAGAGTCATTCTGTCTCAGGTCACATTAACGCAGCAAGAGAATGAGACCGATATCTGATCTTTTCGCTCAAACAACCTGCACCCAGTTTTTAAAACATCAGTCTGAACCCCAAAAAATCTGATTTGTGCCACTTCCATGTCAGATTGTTCTTAAAGTTTCTCCGTTCATGTTGAAGTTAGTCTGACTTTCACATCATCGACATGCGTCTTAATTCTGCACCAGAAGAAACCAGAGACTCTAAATCTGGACATAAACAGTCTGGACTGAAATCATAATTATGAACTTATGAAGAGCATCGCCTCACAGTCCCACCACTCCTGGCTCTGACTCCACATCCAAACACGAAACAAGTTACGGTCAATGCTCAACAAAATACCAGTCCTGCTGTCTTTAGTAAATTCTTCTGATTTTGTAACGATACTGTTGGTTATTGTTGCTTGAACATTTGTAATTGATTGATAGACGGTGAATCTGATTCAGCATAAATTAACTGCAGGAAGTGGATTCTGAATCTGTACTGTTGCATGTAAAAAGAAAAAATCAAACAAAAGAAAAACATTAATTGAGTTAAAAAGTAATTAATCCTGTTAAATTCCTGGTCCTAAAATAAACCTTTTACTGCCTTTGATTGTGTTTCTGTCAGGAAACTTAGTGAAACTATGACAACCTGTCTGTGAAAAGTCAGACTGGACTCACTGGAAACATACGGATCCTAAGCAGGAGCCTGGAGGAACGCCACAGTTTAGAAGAGAAAACCTGACCAACTGGACTGAACAACTTCTGCTTTACAAAGTGATCATCATGGTTCACCGGGAGAAAAGCAGAAGTCAAATCCACTAAGATTAAAACAGCAGAATCTTCAGAGTAGAAAGCAGATCATTAAAAACTTTCTGTTCTGTTTTTAAAACCAAACTGAAATCCTAAAAGGTGAATTTTCTCCTCAGGCTGGAGGGTTTTACCTGCTGTCATTTCTCAGCGTTAAAGGCCTTCAGGAGTTTGTCTTCCTCAGATAAATGGCAAAAGAAGAAGGTTTTCAAAAGTCAAACTTTACCTGACTCTATAAATGCCACTTTAGAGGTACAACCACTGCTTTCTATAAAACACCCATCAGTTACACGACCTCCCACACTTTTAAGAGTACCGTTTTCTGTAAAGTGGAGAGATCAAGCACAGACAGCCTGAGGGCGGTAATTCAGTTATGTCTCTCAGGTGGAGAGGAGAGCTGATCTTAAAGCCTCAGGATATAAGTAAAGTTAGGACATGACACTTGCAGCCCTGAGGGTCATTAGCCGTAGAGCATAATTAATCTAACATGTCACGTCCGGCTTGTTAGCGCCGGCGCTCAAAGTAAAACAAACGACCATCAACATGCATCGTCCAGCCCCGCATTGTCAACAAGGATTCCTCAGAGGCTGTAATGGATAAAAAGGGGCTGGAATAATGAATAATTTATCATGGCAAATTAATTTCATGCTCCGCCAGCGTCCTGGACAACAGCACAGTGTGTGACATCCTGAAACGATTATGCAATTCTCCCTGTTGGACCGAGACTTTACGCTCCTGCTGGAGCTTGAAAAGGACTTTTGTGTTTGTGGTTAAGTCTTCTGTTATTAACAGACCAGCATTAATGCTCATGTTTATTTAATGGTTTATTAATAAGAACCCCGTGGTTGGTCTTTCTAATCAAATCTTGATTACATGAGTCTAATCAGCGTACATGTCTTATTAGTCAGGCAGTAGCATAAACGCTCAGCTCCACCACAGAGCAGATCGTTTCCGAGAAAACATTCGATCAGTTTAGTCAGAATGACGACCGCTGTTTGGCTTTCTGCCTCAAAAGTAAAGAAACATTATCCTCCAAGAATATGAGCTCATGTGACAGTTTGTTCAGCTTGGCTGCAAACTTGAGTTAAAATATGCACATTCATCCCAACATTAATAGTTTCCAACGATTTAAAATGCAAATAATCTGTAATTGTGACATTAAGCAACATTGTTGACAGTAATGGTTGATGTTTAGCTGCTTCATGCAGATGTGAGCTATAAAGTAACAGACGTTTGAGTCGCCTCATGGATCACATGGGTAACTTCCTGCGCTACTAGATGTCCTATTGGTCAGAGTGGATGTTGGTTTGAAGCTGATTTCCACTCTGCATTGATGCATTAAGGTATATTTGGTGTTTGGACAATGAAAATAATCAGCTGTTCGGGTTTTTAGAGCAGGGTTCCTGTGAATATTGAGGTCCACTGTAGCAACCAGCACAACAACCACAAATGTTACAATAATGACAAAATCATTGCTGTTTTCTAGAAGCACTAAGATGGAAACTTTTTTGAAACTTTTACTGGAAGGTTTTCTGTTCTGGTTGAGGCCTGACATTTTTCCAGTGTCACCAATGAGTCAAACTTGGTCACAGTTGTTAAATGGAGGAAGAATCAGTTCCTCACCAAAGTACATAAGAAGTCCCACAATTTTATTTTTGAATAAGTGACAACTGAGAGAAGCGACCCAGAAGTGTCAGAGCGGCTGCAGTTACAGGAGACGGATGGAGACTTACAGCTCAGGCAGGAAAGTGAAAACCATTTTCAAAGTTTCTACAGGCGGCATGGAGACGGATCTTCACTTCCTGCTCCTCTTACCAGACAGATGCTTCTCAGTTTAGCATCTGTCTTTAAGGCTGAGGACTGTTTTACTGCAAAACAGAGTAAAACTGATAAAATCATGTTTGTTTCTGCAGACAAGAACCGAGGACAGATAAGTGGTTACAGAGAACAGATGATTGTAGACGTCGGCCACAACAGCAGCAATTCATTGTTTAATCTGAGAAAAGACGCTTTGTTTTGTTGTTTGTAAAGTGTCCAATCAGATCTTCCCTTTAAAAAACATTTAATTTAACACATCAATAAAATGAGATGGAGTTTTATGGAAAACAAAAAGTATTCATCATCCTGGAACATTTCCATAGATGAATGGAGCTAAACGGAAGAAAACGCTTCTAGAGGCAGCAGAGGTCTGGAAACCGGGTTGGAGGTTCACCTGTAACCACGACAACCAGACCTACATACAACCAGGGCCAGAATAATAATGTTCATCCGTTAGAACGGCCTAGTCAAAGTCCAGACCTACATACAACCAGGGCCAGAATAATAATGTTCATCCGTTAGAACGGCCTAGTCAAAGTCCAGACCTACATACAACCAGAGCCAGAATAATAATGTTCATCCGTTAGAACGGCCTAGTCAAAGTCCAGACCTACATACAACTGAGAATCTGTGGCAGAACTTGAGCCAATCAGATTGAAGTTTCACTGAACAGAACGAGGAAAAGGTTTTATGCTCTGGACGTTGCAGAGGAAACTAAAAACAAGTCAAACATCAGGACACACATCAGCTCTCACATTTATACCTGTAAAGAATTTTGAATAATTTTTCTTCCACACAGTTTTGTGCTGCTTTTGTTGACG